AAGATACTGCGCAGAACCCTCAAGCTCCCAGGCCTCTGGTAGAGGACCCGAGCTCAGAGGATGAAAAGAGAGAGAGACCACCCATATGGTTGCTGCTGCCACTTGCTGGTGTGAAAGGATAACTACGCCATACAAGGAGGATTATCTGTGTAGCTATGCCACATTTAGCAAATCTTGATATTAATAAGTCTTTCTATATGTCTCTATTAAAAAATACTTCATTTTTTTTCTCGTGCATGAATCATTATGAATAATCCTAAATAAAGGTGAAGCTAATAACGACACTTCAAACAGGAACTGGACGTTTTTTTTCATCTCAGCGTATGGCTTTATTTAGCTGTGAAGTAACATGAAACAAGAACATTTACATGGAGGCAGCTCACTAATGACACAAAACTTTGGTTTCATTAAACAGTAAAATTAACACAACAAAACTACTTCAGATCAACTAAGATTGATCAAACATTAATCTTCAAATTTCCTTCACTTTCATGTTTCTGAATGTCTTCTGATATTATGACAGCTGCATAATGTGTTATTAATACAAATAAATAAATGTATAAATAAGGCAATCATAGAAGATTGTGACACTTAGTAGTGAAGGTTAAATGTTCTGCCCAGTTAGTTTTTAGCTTTTAACTCTTATTTACTGATGACACTGATAACAGAGTAGATGCTGCAACATGCTAAATAATCTGCAGTTTTATGTAGCTTCAGCTCTATAATAAACAAAGATGGTGACCTTGAGCAGTGTGTTGTTGCTAAACCTGAGAAAACAGAACTGTAGGTGAATTAGTGCAAAAAGCCCAGGAAATGTTAGCGACGTGTCTAAAAGGAGAGTCAGATCAGCAGACTGACGGCAAAGAGCAGAAACACAGAGAGACGCTGGGATGACGCTGCTGCACCCGACGGAGGAGGAGTCGTCGTTTTCTGTTCATCTTTAACTGCAACACAGACATGAACAATCATTTCTTCCACAAACACGAGGAAACCAGACTTCATGGGATTATTGTTAAATAAAATGTATTCCATTAAGAATACAATTGTTATCATCCAGAAAGTAACTGCTTCATCCTCAGTAACTGTAGACCTGATCTGTGTTTGGACTGAACTGAATAACAATGGAGGAAAGAAATGTGTTGCATTTCAGAGTGAATGAAATACTACACATTTCAACCAGTTTCCCTCTGGTTGCTCTTCAGGACGCCTGGAGTTGCTAACTTTGACTCCAGCTGCGTTTCAAATGACTACACGTCAATTTTGCAACTTGTCGATAAAAAGTTTTGGTGCTCGGTTGAGGTGAGTTTTGTGTAGCTTACATCTGTCTACTGCAATGAAGCAAGAAAACTGGATCAACACTTTCTGAACTTGCTCTTTGAACTGACCTGAAACCCGGAGCTGGACGACAACAGGCTGATTTGAGTCGAGGATTTTGCACTCATACAGGTTGGCATCATCCAGCCGTAGATCCTTCAGAAGAAGGGAGAAGTTCCCTTTGCTGTATTCACTCGGAAAGCTGGACACTCGATCTTTGTACTTTGAAATCTGGGAGGCGGTTGAGGGCTTCCAGTCAATGATGTCAAACACAGGATTTACATCATCAACCCTCCAGAAGACTTTCTGTGGTACTGGATCCTTGTAGACACAGGGCAGCACGACTTGTCCACCAACAAAGCCTGGAATGACCGTAACCTGGCAGGTCACTGGAACAACAAGGAGTACCTGGTCAGACACAACCTGAAGCCTCTCACTGCTGACGTCTCTCGTTTTCTTCCATCAGATCAAAAAGAGGAAAATGTGCTACAGCTTTGGTGACACATGTAGCAGAAAGCAAAGGAATTACAATACTAAAGTAGAAAATTCCTGCAGAAATTTTAAGGGACCTGCCAAAGTGTGCCCATCACTTTGGTCCCAGTGTTTCAGATTTGTCCTC